CGGCAGATTTCTCTAGAACTAAAAAGTTGCCTGTTTTGAATATCAGTATTCATCGGGGAAAATTTCTATGCATGTTTAAGTGTATCTACGAAGTATATGGTTGAAGCTGGTGGAAAACTGGGAAATTGCTTCGAAATATTCTTATTAAGCTCACTTACCGTGAAGTTATATGTGTACTTCCATTCAGTTATAAGATTACTATGACACTTAAGATGATGTTACACGTTGAGTATTAATTACATTTTGTATGGAGATATTGTTATTTATGATATAATATCAATGTAACATAATAAGCGTACTAATAATAGAAGAATCGATAAATTCGTAAATAGCATTTGCAGAAACTAGCGAAGATTCCATCAGAAGTATTGGCTAAAATCAATCCAGAGTCAGCAAAGAGCATCATTAGACATAAATGGAGGACAGGGAAATCGAAGCGTTAACCGACTTTCTCGACTTCTTAATAGCTCTTGATAAAACCATAGCCCCGATCCTCAGTCTCTTATTGATTTCACGACAGCCAGGAGCCATTATTGTCATCGTAATCCCGGCGTAGGCGTCGGATCACCACGGTTGACATCGGATTATGTCTCGACGTCTAAGTATCGATATGAAACACGACGTACGCTGGCCTACCAGTCAGTCAGATTTGACCACTGGTCAATGGTTGCATCGTCTAATCCCATGACTGCTGTCCCGAATGATTGAAATTATCTTCATGACCGAGGCCGGTGATCCCGTTTATCAAATCTGTATTCTGCCAACCCACGGAAACGCGTGTTGCCCGGTTGCTCGCGTGTCGAATGCATAATTAACATCCGAAAATATGCATTAAACATTCGCTCGATTATTAACGTTCGCGAGTTTTCGGCTGACACGGGACACGCTGTCAATTTCAATTTAATGATTCGTGTATCGAGTGATTTTATTTGTGCTTCTATATAAGAGAACACTTTGATGATCGATTTTGTATTGATGATCAATTTTAGGTTTTGCTATTTTGGATTGTATTTTTGTACTGGACAGTTGGAGAAATACGTCAGGATGACGCATTTTAAGTGGATTTGGCAAGCTTGAAAGTTGGAGATTTAGGGACTTGATGACTTGGCAATTGAGAAATTTGGGGATTTGGAGATTTAGGGACTTGACAATTTAGCAATTGGGAAATTTGAGAATTTGGAGGTTTGGGGACGTGACAAATTAACAATTGGGAAGTTTGGGAATTTTGGAGATTTGGGGACTTGGCAATTTAGCAATTGGGAAATTTGGGAATTTGAAGATTTGGAAATTTGGAGATTGGCAACTCGGTAATTTGGAAATTTGGGAATTTCGGGATTTGGGGACTTGGCAAATTAACAATTGAGAAATTTGGGAATTTGGAGATTTGGGAACTTGATAACTTAGCAATTGGGAAATTTGGGAATTTGGAGATTTGGGAACTTGGTAACTTAGCAATTGGGAAATTTGGGAATTTGATGATTTGGGGACTTAGCAATTCGATAATTTGGAAATTTGGGAATTTGAAGATTTGAAGATTAGGAAACTTGACAACTTGGTAATTTGGAAATTTGGGAATTTAGGGATATCGGGACTTGGCACTTTAGCAATTGCAAAATTTGTGAATTTGAAGATTTGGAGACTTGGCAACTCGGTAATTTGGAAATTTAGATATTTGAAGATTTGAGATATCGAAAATTTACTAATTTACAAATTCCAGGATTTGTGAATTCTTGAAAACTTGTAAAATCAACTTAAAAACTTAAAAATTCCCAAGTTTGAGAATTAGAAAATTTACAAAAACGAGAATATACGACTGACTATTTTTCGAGAGGTTCAATTTCAGAATCGTTACGTTTGTCAAATATTTTGGAGGTCGAATTTTTCCCAATAACGGTATTTTAATACGAGCGTGCCAGGAATACAGACACATTTTGCAACACGATATTAACACAATCGCGTCGAGTTTTTGAAGAATTTTTTAATCGCTACGCGCGATGGGTTTGGTTAATACTGTTATCTGCAGGCTGCGACAATTTCAATCAGTTCCGTGACAAGCATACGAAGCAAACAAACACTGAAACAAAGGACGAGCTTTAATAAACTCGTTTCAAATGGAACTGTTTAATGAAACGGAATTTGTCGAGTACGATGCACAAATTTATTCAAAGCGATGTTACAATGGTAATCCTTGTATTCCTTGTAAATCTGCGTATCCTTTGTATACCCGTTTTCCCTTGTAACTCTCGTGCTGTTTTTATTTTATTTTTCATTTAAATTGTCGTCATAAATATAAGACCGTCTAATTATTGTATACACACTTTTGGTACTGTCAACGAAAAAGTAATTGGATAATTTAATTGTACTTTGTGTTATACTAAATGAATATCTTTTGCATTGTTTTTATACGTAATATAATATAACATATGCAATGATATAATTTTATTTGAGGATTTAATCAGATTTGATTAATTAGTACATTATGTTAGAATAAAAATAATACAAAAAGTAGAAACAGTATCAAAGTAAAAATTATACTAAAGTGAGACTTTTCGATCTCATCAAACTAACATCGGTTAGGTTCTTATACGATTTTCAGTAGGTTGTAACTGATTTCGGTAAATACGCAAAAAATCTTCAGTATTATAAGAATAATATTTTTATTTCAAAGGTATGTTACAAATATATGAGTTTCATATAATTATATTAAATATAATGTATATTTTTTGAAGCAATCTCCAACATGAAGGTTGCACGTTTCACAGAAGTATTGTTCTTCTTCCTCCAGGCAACTTATAATTAGAACATACTAAGCAATCCTTATGTTTTCCTTTAATATCAAGTTGCAAGATATGTATTTTTCCATCTAATCTATCCTTATTATCTGTTAATGGCGTTCCATATCGCACAGTTTCTCGAAAATTAGGATTTCGACAGGTTCCATCACTGTTACCTCTCACGTGACGTGCGACCGCAGCGCCAAAGTAGTGTAACATGAGAGGTGACTTACGATTAATAAGGGTTAATAAAGTTGTAGAGTAATATATGTGATTTATGCAATATTTATGCAATAAGAACACTGCACAAATTTAAATTGAATTAATTTTAAATTGCAGTACGAACATTGCATAAATATCATTATAGGGATATAAGAATATTTACAAGCTTTTTCACAATTTTATGGCAGTAGATGATTCTTTGTATCGAGTTAAATTCTATTACTACAATTTCGAATTTCTAATAGGATTTAACTATAGAATTGACAATAAAATCTGAATTAATACTAATTGTGATTAATCAACAGCTAAATACTACTCATTCAAAATTACTCTTACCACCTCGATAAAACAAATAACGAATTATAAGTAAATAAATTACCCAATAAACGAAAATCGCAGTAAAGGAAAATATCTACAGAGTGAACTGTTGGGTGGCTTATATTATTTCAAAAACGTTAGTTGCCCAAACAGATTTGCGCAGCTTAAATTCCATCGCAAAAGACGAGTTTTATCCACTATCGAAAAATACAAACTAATCTGATTCTCGTCTCTTTTGTATCAGGATTTCGTTTGTTCGCAATGATTCCGTTCTGGTCGATAAACGGATTGCCTCGAAATTCCGTAATTGGAAGTTTAATATAATTAAAATCTCGTTTTAAAACGGAATGCATGTAATTGAACACCATTTCAATTATTCCATAAAAACAGTGCTATTTTAGCCGGGAAAATTCGCAACGATACAGGTTTCACCTTCCCCATGTAAAATTTTTAATGCAATTCATTCGCAAACGCAATTGAAACCACGTACTAGGTTTCGGGCCAATGGAATTCTATAGCCGCCGGATTTTCCATTTACGCAATTTTCAAGCAATATTGTTATATCAATATTAATATCGAAGCAGGGTTTGAAAAATATTCGATATTTAAAATCATTTACCGCTAACGGACGGTTCTTTATACAAAAAAAAAAAAACAATTATGCTATGTGGCGGGGTTTAATAAAATTTTTGGCTGCCCAATTTTAAACAAGCGCTGCTTTTTCTACACAGCATTGGTTTTTCAAATGCAAAAAAATGAGAAAATTGATTTAACAACATTGGTTTCGTTATAGAATTGTTTTTAACGAAAAAATTAATTAATGGTTCATAACACAATGTTGTAGACATTTTATAAAATTTTAACAGCAATATTAAGCTTTGAATAGTAACGAACATTTAAGTGCAATAAGTTGCACACTCATGCAGTAAGTTTATGGTAATACACAGATATAAATAAATATTGTACGATATGACAAAATTATGTAATTAGTAAAAATTGTCGAGTTAGGATAAATCAGTTAGATGATATAAATTCTTGTTAATAAATATCTACAAATAAAGAACGTACAATACGGTAAAGCTATGTGTATAAAATTACACATTTAAAATTAATATAAATTAGAGTAAATTATAATTATAATAAATTAATATTAACAAACACAAGGAAGAAATAACAATTAATTAACAAACTACCAGAAATATATAACACACTTAACTTATGTACAAACAAAAAAGTGAGGTTAGGTCATGTCAAAATGAATTCCTACTACTAACCAAGTTCATACCAATAATCAAACTAGCACTCAAAAACTTCGTTTACTAAAACAATCTCAATCCAAAGTTAACATAAAAATTTGTGAAATATAAATATTGCCTCATGCACAACGTTAATTAATGAAATACGATAAACTTTTCGAATGACCGAATAAAAGAATACATAAAACATCCAGCGTGCAAAATTAAAATATTAAATCGACGACATAAAAATGTACGTGCGCGTATCAAGTAAAAAATATCCCGTGTTTTTACGCTCCGGAGCTCATTTAATTAAATTGGCGTATGAAAATACGAACGTGAACCGATTTCCTCGGAACGTTCGAAATACTCGATTCGCACGTTCGAATCTCGCGGCACGGCGTCGATAAGATGGCCGAGTACAATACATCACGTATCTCCTTGTTGTCAGGCGCAATCTTCCATGCCGGCGACGAAGAGCATAAGGCTGCATTTCTAAAGGCGGCATACGATACGAGATTCCAGGACGTCGCGCCCACATTCGAGCTGGAGGCCGTCACAAAGCTGGTGGATAGTAATACCGACAGCTTCAAGACCGCAGCCGCTGGTTTGTATGAATACCCCACACCGGTAGTTTTAGTCGATGACAACGTTCGCTGAAATGAACCAGATCGTGATATTAAAACGAACTAATGAACCAATTAACGAGTGAATGGACCGTTGACATTCTGGTGAGACTTTGACAACTTGTCTCGATTAATCCTGGGATGGCGAAGGTTTATGTTAGACGTTTTAGAGATTCGGTTTAATTTTACATTCTCTTGATATGTGATTTGGAAATTATTTAGGGGATCGAGGGATATGGAAATTGACGATGTAGAGATGTAGATCTAGCTGTTTATGAATTCTATGTGGAGACATAGAAATCTAGCTGCTTATGAATGTGGAAATATACAGGTTTAGATGTGGAAGCTAGATGTCTAGATAGAGATACAGATATATAAGTGTTTATGTATGTAAGGATATATGAATCCAGTTGTTTATGTATGTGGAATTATGTAGGTCTAGGTGTGGAAGTATAGATGTCCAGATAGAGATACAGGAATATAAGTGTTATGTATGCAAAGATATATGAATCCAGCTGTTTATGTATGTGGAATTATATAGGTCCAAGTGTGAAAATATAAATGTCTAGACGGAGATACAGAAATGTAAGTGTTTATATATGCAAAGATATACGTGTATGAATCCAGCTGTTTATGAATGTGGAAATATAGAGGTCTAGGTGTGGACATATAGAAGTCTAGGCACAGATACAGACTTATAATTGTTCATCTATGTACAAACATATGAATATAGCTGTCTATGAATGTAGAGTATAAGGATTAAGAGACATGCAAATATAGACACATGAGGATTAAGACACGTATGGACATAGAGATCTAGGTATACATAAGTTTAAACATATAAGATCCGCATAAGCCTGTATAAATATAGAAACTTGGAGATGTAGAGATGTATGAATATGAGAACCTCATATAGGCATTTAGCAATACAGTCCTGTAGTATTGATTATACTTGTATTATAGGAAGATAAAAAGATAAGACAGTATGCTTGATCGTTGCAGCTTGCGAGCTGATCGAGGAAGATGTGGTAATCTGTATAAATATAGAAACTTGAAAATGTAGAGATGTATGAATATGAGAACCTAATATAGACATTTAGTAATACAGGTCCTGTAGTATTGATTATAGTTGTATTATAGCAAGCTAAAAGGGTAAGACAATATACTTGAACGTTGCAGCTTGCGAGCTGATCCAGGAAGGTATGATAACCTATATAAATATAGAAACTTGAAGATGTAGAGATGTATGAATATGAGAACCTGATATAGACATTTAGTAATACAGGTCCTGTAGTATTGATTATACTTGTATTATAGGAAGATAAAAAGGTAAGACAATATACTTGAACGTTGCAGCTTGCGAGCTGATCCAGGAAGGCGTGGTAGCCATCTTTGGTCCCTCGAGTCCCCACACTTATGCAGTTGTCGCGAGTATCGCAGCAAAATTCGATATTCCTCATATAGATTATGTTTGGAGGCTAAACGAGGAGGTGGAGGCTGATAAAGAACCGAAGAACCCTATGCCGATGACCATCAATATATATCCAGACAGTGATATGGTTGGCAAAGTAAGTAAAAGGTTGCAAATCTTGAACCTTGCAATGAATGTAAAATTTATAAAATACAAATTGTTTTGTCGGAAATAAAAATTAAATTTAAATTCTAACTAACTGAATAATCCACCGTCTGAAAATTATTACAAAATAATATTGAAACAAATTTTAATAAGGAATATCATTTTTGAGAACAGAGTGTCAGAAGATTTAGTTAAATGAAATTGAAATGGAAACAGAATACTTTGATATCTCAGACGAAGACGAGACAGATTTAGCAGGAAAAAAACACAACTAGGTCGGAATTTCGCGATGCATTTTAAATTACGCATTTAACGAGGCAAATCGAACGAGTTTGAAGTAGCTGGCGCATTAAACCAGCAAGCCGAGGCTAATGAGCCCGATCAAAGACCAAACTTCGGCTAACGACGCTGGATCGGCTTTTATTCTTGCGCCCTTTACGGGCCAGCTGAAAAAACAAACGAAATACGTTGATACGAGTTAAACGAGCGCCGATTGGGTCTAATTAAAATCCTCGACTCGCGACGCTGCCGCGCGCAAAGAGTTATCGACCGTTTCGATTTTATCCTGTGATTAAACGCCTCGTATTTTTACGTTGCGCGAAATTAATGGTAATAATGGCGTCGGGATTATGCGATCGCGAAAATAACCTCAGCTAAGTACAGATTTTGATTTAAATACGTACTTGGAGATTTTCAACTTCATAAATTTCAGATTTTTATCATTTCTTTTTGGAAGTTACTTAATTTCCATACTTACAGATTTGTTAATTGTCAAATCTGAAAAGTGGAAAATTTTGAAGGTCGTAAGGTGGAAATTTGCTAATTTGAAAATTAATAGAAGTTGCACTCGTAGATTTGGAATTTGTCAAATTTTTGAATTTCCCAAATTTTCATAATGTCAAGATTGAAATTTGCAAATTTTCACTTTTTGAGTATTTTCAAGTTTTCGAACTTGAAAATTCCCTCATTTTTAAGTTCAACAAATTGTAAGTTGTAAAACCCCAAAATTCATTTCCAATTTTCCAAAATATTTCTAAATTTAAAAACTTTCCAAACTCCTAAAATCCCAATTTTTCACATTACCAAATTACTATTCTCGCTACTGTAAAATTTTCAAATTTTCCAAGCTTCCACATCCATCTTCCCAAATACTAAATTTCACATTTCCAAATTTCCTAAATCCCTAAATTTTAAGTTTTCCAAGCTTCCACGTCCATCTTAGCAAATCCCTAATCTCACATTTCTAAATTTTCTAAATCCCTAAATTTCCAACTTTCCACATTACTAAATTACCTCACACCCAAATATAAAAATTCCTAAATCCCTAAATCCCTAAATCCCCAAACTTCTAATATTCCCAAATTACCACATTACCTCACACCCAAATATAAAAATTCCTAAATCCCTAAATCCCTAAATCCCTAAATCCCTAAATCCCTAAATCCCTAAATCCCTAAATCCCTAAATCCCTAAATCCCTAAATCCCTAAATCCCTAAATCCCTAAATCCCTAAATCCCTAAATCCCTAAATCCCTAAATCCCTAAATCCCTAAATACCTAAATCTCTAAATCCCTAAATCCCTAAAACCCTAAATCCTCAAATCCCTGAATTCTCAAGTCCCTAAATCGTCAAATCCCTAAATCCTCAAATCCCCAAATTCCCAAATCCTCAAATCCCTAAATCTCTAAATCCCTAAATCCCTAAAACCCTAAATCCTCAAATCCCTGAATTCTCAAGTCCCTAAATCGTCAAATCCCTAAATCCTCAAATCCCCAAATTCCCAAATCCTCAAATCCCTAAATCTCTAAATCCCTAAATCCCTAAAACCCTAAATCCTCAAATCCCTGAATTCTCAAGTCCCTAAATCGTCAAATCCCTAAATCCTCAAATCCCCAAATTCCCAAATCCTCAAATCCCTAAATCTCTAAATCCCTAAATCCCTAAAACCCTAAATCCTCAAATCCCTGAATTCTCAAGTCCCTAAATCGTCAAATCCCTAAATCCTCAAATCCCCAAATTCCCAAATCCTCAAATCCCTAAATCTCTAAATCCCTAAATCCCTAAAACCCTAAATCCTCAAATCCCTGAATTCTCAAGTCCCTAAATCGTCAAATCCCTAAATCCTCAAATCCCCAAATTCCCAAATCCTCAAATCCCCAAATCCCCAAAGTCCCTAAATCCATAAATTTTTAAATCCCCAAATTCCGGAATCCCAAAATCCCAAAATCCCAAAATCCCAAAATCCCAAAATTCCAAAATTCCAAAATTCCAAAATCCTAAATTTCCAAAATCCCAAAATCCCAAAATTCCAAAATCCTAAATTTCCAACTTCCTATATTACCAAATGATCTCACTTCCAAATATAAAAATCCGAAACTTCCAAATTTCCCAAGCTTCCACCTTCCCAAATCCTCAAATTCCAAATCCCAAACCCCAGCTTCCCAAACTACCTAATAACCCTACATTCTCACACCGAAACAACACTAAACCGCCAATAAAAACCAGAAACGGTACCATTCCGACAGGTCGAACGTTGACCAAAGGTATAAAACTTTTTTCCAGGCGATCGCTGACGTGGTCGAGTCTATGAAGTGGAACACTTTCGTGGCTATCTACCAGACGAACGATGGTCTGTCGCGGATCCAAAAGTCCTTGTCGTTGAGACGAAAGAAGGATGGCGTGATCACGATAAGAAAGCTGAATGGTGCAGGGGATTATCGACCTATCCTGAAGGAGATTCGCGCTCTGTCCATCTGCGACGTGATCATCGATGTCGAGCCGAATAACATCGTCGACGTGCTCTATCAAGCCAAGGAGGTCAAGCTGTTGGCGGACTACTGTAATTTCTTAATTACTTATCTGGTATTACGCTACATTATACTTTGTTTGCGTAGATTTTATCTGGATCCGTTACCTCCTTCAACGATATTTTCCTTTATCAGATCTGTCGGGTCAAAATCAAAGCTATCGGGTCAGATACTTGACAAACTTTGATCTGATGTTTGTTACCGCGTCTCGATATTTAGGTTAGATTAGTTCAGGGATTACTGCCTCAGTGTTTTTAGTCTTGGTTTGTGTATGAACTTTAAAGCTCTATCTAATAATTTCACTGTTTGAGTCACTAAGATAATGGAGTCCACAAATTGTCACAGACTATTCTGTAAATATTAAGTGTACTAAAAATTTTTTTCGATCAGAACTTTTGTGGATTGTAGGTTGTCTATAACTCGAACCTCAAGTAGTCTACACGTGGTTATGGAAGTTAACTGGAGTTGGTGAGGTTCCCAGCTAACAGAGTTACACAAACAGTTTACAATGCAATTTTGAAATTATTCAATCTCTTTAATTTTCAATCTGAACACTTCTAAATCTTCTAATACTCTCTATTTGATTGTGTAACCGATATGTCTGGTGAAATTCGAATTACAAAGGTATGTCAGACAAATGGGAGTGAATGGCCCAATGTTTTCCACTTCGTTTTCCTCCGTCTTTCTGCGCCCATTAATCCGTTTTTCCACGATGGTGGTTTGGTTCCCAGCGATTCAGTCATCCGCATTTAACGCCGCATAGATTCCTCATTAAAAGCAACAAAGTTCTCCGGGGCTATTTAGGAGATTGAAACTCGAGCATTTTACGAGACTAACTTCGAATCCTTGCTCAAGTGAATTTCACGGTGGGTACAACTTTTCCGTGCAATTTTACAGCAGCCGTTACAGCGTCGAGCATGTTTATTAATAACGCCGCGTTGCGATTCTATTCGACGCACAACGAGTGTCATATAGCGCGATACTCGAAAGTGCGGCGTTTAAAATCGTGCTTGAAATTCAGTATTTTAGAAGACTTATCTACGGAAATACGCTACCGTGTAAATATTAATGCTTAACAGCGGCAATTAACTGGATATTGAACAAAAACTGTGGTATGCAGAAAATGTGTGGTACAAAGATTTCACGTTTAAAATATACTGAAAATATTCCATAATTTAAATATCATTTTCTTTGGGAACTCGCGGTGATGTAAGCGTTTATATATGTATTCGCGTGGAAAATGAGGGCTGCAGTACGTACGCATGCAGATGAGGAACACGAAAAATGGAACAGAACTCTCAGGGACGATTAATTCTATACTCATTTTATGAGGTGAAGGGAGGTTTTAGTAGCAGGAATACGTGGAGTTTTGTGACTTTGAGGTTTTTGAGGTTTGAGATGTTTGGGACTTCTGAAGTTAACTGCATTCTCAAATTCTAGGTTTCCTCAAATTCAAATTATTAAATTTTCCCAAGATACAAATTCTTACACTGTCAAATTTAATAAATATCAAATCCCTAAATTTCTCAATTTTCCAAGTCTTTAAGATCATAAATATCTATTTTTATACTTGGTAAGATGAGAGTACCAAGTTTCCACATTCTCATATGTGAAAAGCCTCAAGTCCTAAATTCCACATGTCTCACGTTCCCAAATTTACAAATTTCTAAAATCCTTAAATTCCTAAAATTACAAGGTTCCACATTACCAAGTTTCCATACTCTCAAATGTAAAAATTCTCAAGTCCTAAATTCCACATATCTCACATTCCCAAATTTACAAATTTCTAAAATCCCTAAATTCCTAAAATTACAAGGTTCCACATTACCAAGTTTCCATACTCTCATATGTAAAAAGCCTCAAGTCCTAAATTCCGCATGTCTCACATTCCCAAATTTACAAATTTCTAAAATCCCTAAATTCCTAAAATTACAAGGTTCCACATTACCAAGTTTCCATACTCTCAAATGTAAAAATTCTCAAGTCCTAAATTTCCTAGTCCAAAATTTCCAAGCCCCAACTTCCCAAATCCCAAATTTCAAAACTTCAAAATTTCCTAAATTTCTAAAATCCCACGGTTCCATATTACTAAGTTTCCACACTCTCAAATGTAAAAATTCCCAAGCCCTAAATTCCAAGTCTCAAATTCGAACTCCATATTCTGAAGCCTTCAGCCCCTAAATGTAGAGACCTCCTACATCCTCCAATTCCTAAATCCCAAAATCCCTAAATTCCCAAACTTTCAAACACTACAATTCTCTAACTCTTCCATCTCCTAAATATCTAAACCCCCAACTAAATCCTCAAACCCCTCAAATCCCTCAAACCCCAAAAATCCACATTCTTCATAACCCAAATCCCCAAACCCCAAAAACAAAATTCCTTAACTCTCCACATTTCCAAAGATCCAAACCCCCAACTCTCCAAGTCCCCACATTCCCACAAAATACCCCAAAAATATTTGAAATAGTTGAAACGTTTAAGAGTCTCCACAGCACAGTGCCAGTGTCTTCCACTCGGAGCGCATTGTCTTCTCGCGGAGACGGTCCGGCGTGTCACGCGTACATTCAGCACATTGTTCCGCTTCGGAAAAACGCGATACGCCTGGTGAACGCGCGCGAAAACCCTCTGCGTACCGCGAACGTCGTTATTTATGGAGGTATTGTTACGTGCTAGCCGGTAATGCGTCATAAAAAGTGGATTCCGGGGGCGGTGGCGAACGAAGGAATGCTCAGTCCGCACGCCATTACCGGCGTCTCGCTGAAAACAATTACTCGCGGCAATTTATGGGACCGTTTAATAGAAAAAAAAAATGTCTGACAATTGTAACCGGCTAATGCAGTTACTACGCCTGGCTGAACGTGACCACGACACGTTCCATGGATTTATTAATGAAATTCCGCTGGGAAAACCGCGACTCTCATCTCTGGTAACTATCTGCCACAGGAAGAATGTTCTTCGTGCTGGTATTCGATGCGGGATCTTGAAAATGTGTTTGAAAACGCTTTCGTGGCTGAATATGTGGGTTCTGGTTTTTGGAATATCGATTTAATTTAGATTTGGTTATGGTGGGTTGTAATTTGATTTTAGGAATAAGTTTTACTTGTGTTGGGGAGGTGAAGGTTTATTGAAGACGATTGAAGTGTGAGAATACAATTGTAAGGCATTGGCGGTAAATTAAAAAATAGGTAATTTGTAGTTTATGATTTTGAAGAAGTTAAGATGTCACTGAGAAGTCAATTGCAATGTGAGAGTAACTTATACTGCATCATAATTTAATTTTAAAATATAAAAGAAAATGCAAAGTACATTACAAAAGAAACATAAAATAGAAAGACACAAGGTATCAGTTATTTCAAGAAACTACAAATTTTGTTACCTAACTTCCACGTCTGCAAATTCATTCTATAAATAATATTCTTGCAGCAAGAAGTTTGTAAAATATAATAAATATAATTATTAATGTGAATATATATACATTGAATAATACATGTAAAATGTATTATAATGAATTTCTCTTGAATGTACACCATGTAACTTTGCTTGAACATGAAATACAAAATATGATTACATTAAAAAAAGAGAACTAATCAAGAGGCATGAAATGAATAAATTCAAATAAATTACAGGAAGTAACAACATTCGCAGGGAGAAGACAAATCGAGGAACGAATGTTGAAATCAGTGCACAGCAAATTCATCCGCTCCTCAGTCGAAGAGATAAATCTCGTCGGGCAAAAGAAAGAAACGAAGTGGGTTCTTCCGGGAAATAAGCAGAAATTCGTTTCTCCCTCTCACGGTTGTTTCTCGAAGAGTGTTTTTTTCTACGCTTCTCTTTGGAATTGCCACGTTGTAACGTCGGAGCTGAAGAAGCCCTTTGATCGTGGCGACGGTAGCTTGCCGGATGATGTTTGAACGCTCCTCCCGTTCGCAAATAACGAAATTTGTCTGTGTACACACAGGGAGAGACGAGAAAAAGGCGCACCGTGGCACGTATGAATTCGTGAGAAATTTCACGAAATTCATATTTGTCCTGACTGTCCCGTGAAATTCGTGGAAGGCGCCATGTTGAATGCTGTCACTGGAGAGTCGAAACACAGGCTGAACCTACGTCAACGTCACCGTTTCTAGACCCGCGATGCCGTGATTTCGATAACCCTGGGAAAAAGCACACGAGAAAAAAGTTGTCGATAGAGACTATATAACGTTATTGGATGATTAGACATATTTCTGAAACTTTCAAAGGTTGCGCCGAACTTTTTATTTGTTATTTTTAGGACTAGTAGATTTGATGAATAGGTTTCGACCATTTGCAACTGGGTATTTTTTGTAATCTTTTTTAAGAATATTTTTATTTTCAGATTTTAGGAGCGTATTTAAAATCCAATATTTTTAAGTTTGTTGATGTTCAAGTTGCAATATTATATAATTTAGGTTACTGAATTATCAAATCTTCAAATTTCTTTATCCTTAAATCTCTGAATTGGCAAGTTTCCAAATCTACAAATCTTCAAATATCTAAGCTTTCATGTTTCCAAATCACTGAATCTCCAAATTTCAAAAACCTCAAATAACCTTATCCTCAAATCTTCAAATTGTCAAATTTCCAAATCTTCAAGCTTGAAGATCTCTAAAAATCCAAATCCCCAAATGTCCAAATCTCCAAATCTTCAAATCTTCAAATCTTCAAATTTCCAAATCCCCAAATGTCCAAATGTCCAAATGTCCAAATCTCCAAATTTCCAAATCTCCAAATCTCTAAATCTCCAAATCTCCAAATCTCCAAATCTCCAAATCTCCAAATCTCCAAATCTCCAAATCTCCAAATCCCTCTAATCCCCCAAATCCCCCAAATCCCCCAAATCCCCAAATGTCCAAATGTCCAAATGTCCAAATGTCCAAATTTCCAAATCTCCAAATCTCCAAATCTCCAAATCTCCAAATCTCCAAATCTCCAAATCTCCAAATCTCCAAATCTCCAAATCTCCAAATCTCCAAATCTCCAAATCTCCAAATCTCCAAATCTCCAAATCTCCAAATCTCCAAATCTCCAAATCTCCAAATCTCCAAATCTCCAAATCTCCAAATCTCCAAATCTCCAAATCTCCAAATCTCCAAATCTCCAAATCTCCAAATCTCCAAATCTCCAAATCTCCAAATCTCCAAATCTCCAAATCCCCAAATCCCCAAATCTCCAAATCGCCAAATCTCCAAATCTCCAAATCCCTCTAATCCCCCAAATCCCCCAAATCCCCAAATTTCCAAATCCTCAGACCAAAATTACCAAATTTCTTCCACCGCCACAAGGTTCGAAAGCTACAACCCTTCATATACTTAAGATGCATATAAGACCCCACCTTCTAGGATGTGTCAGTTTGTACGTGGTTTAAGCCCTCGAATAAAGTCGATTCTGTCGACCGTCTGCAAAATGACGGATCGTTTTTTGGGAGGTCAACGTAGGATTCGAGAAACCATCCAAATAGATGACGCATGGCTTGGCTCTACTGCCAGATGGAATCTAAGTGCACCTGGCAATCGACAGTCTTTAAAATTATGTCTCGTTAGAAATTCCAGTATTTTTCCCTAAACCACGTTCGAAAAGTACCACTTTCCGTAGAACCAAGTTGCTGTAACTCAATTTTCTACTTTATTTGACGCGTGTGGATGTGGTTTCAGCGGATATTGCAATATTTGTCGTATTATTTCACATGTGGTATGATATGTGTGCTTGGGTTTCTTGGTAGAACAGATAGTTGAAGATGTGGATTATTTTTTTTTCAAAAATTGGAATGTGTACATTGGAATCAAATAATTATTGTGTTTTTAGGAGAATATGTATTCATCAAGTTTATATTTATATTTTTTAATATGTGTACACATGTATACCGTAATATACATAGTTATATATGTAGCATACTTTGCTGTTGATGTACAGTATGGGACATTAATTATATCATATGATTTGTATATGTAACATATAATATATGTTACATGTTACACATATGTATGTATGTTATACATACATTATATGATAATACAAGTATGTACAGGGTATTTAATATTTACACACCCTTATCATATAATATAATAAATGAAATTGAGAAAAGTTAAATTAACCCTTTGCGCTCGAGAGGTGACTCTCAGTCACCATTTTATTTAATACAACAATTTGAAATAACTATTTTTTAACTGATTCTTTAATATGAGACGTGTGATGTATAAACACAGTGAAACGAACAAATAGTGGAAATTATTAGTAGAGAAATAATAACCTCAAAAGAATTCATTTAACTTTTTAACTAAGTTTTAAAGTTGCTGTTTGCAAACAGTCAAATTACCTTCGAGTGCAAAGGGTTAACATTATATGAGCTATATTAAAAATGTCATCTTGCTGTCATCTTCAAGTTGACAGTAATATAAGTATGTCACTATTATATCAGTGATATAAATATCCATGTGTATAAATTTTGTTAAAACCTGCATTTGCATAAAATATTTTCTCTCGTTTTAAAATATTAAAGGATACCAAAGAAATTGTCTTGACTAGCGTTATAAAGAGAAACTTAAAAATATACATCTTTTGTAACATAAATAAACCCGTACATTTTATATTTTAAGCAATTTACCTGAGTATAGAATCAATGTACAGTGTTTCAATATTCTGGAAACCCACACATATTTGAACAGTTATAGATTGAGTAAGGCGGACTTAACGAGGTTACTGCTGCAGTCAGGTAATAAATATTTGTTTTTCTAACAATTATCTTCGTGGAATTGCAGGATTCGACGAAACTACCTGTTTCGGATATACGAAATGAAACGGGTGCCAACATCACCGGACTGAGTTTACGCGAGAACGATATGGAAGGCATTAATTGGGTAATTATGAAGCGCAGCTGCATTTTAATCGAATCGTTTCTCTCTAACCAATTAAACGTCCATTTTGTTTGCACGTAATTTGAATATTCCTTGTCGCGGAATGGAACATTGAATAAACACGAATTGAACTTTTGTAATTATAAAATCGTGCTACCATAACCGTTGTAGCTTCTGAATGATAATGATTCGACATACTACAAATGGACTGCTATTAACAATTCTACCGCCATACTAAATCCGCTGAAAATATACGCAATTAGTAACATATAGTAATTGGACAGAAAGATAAACGTTTGTACCTAATCTGAAACATTGCATTTAACTGAACACTACATTAACATTAAATGAGTAAATAAAATACATTGAAATTAAATAAATAAATGAAATAAATTAAAATTAAATGGATATGTGTATAAATTAAATAAGTCAAAATTGTATGGACATGTATATAAATTAAATAAATTAAAATTAAATAAATAAACAAGTAAATAAAATGAATTACTGCTAAGCAGATAAATAAATCAATGAAATAAATTAAAATCGAATGGACATGTATATAAATTAAATAAATTAAAATTAAATAAATAAACAAATTAATAAAATGAATTAGAGTTAAATGCAAAAATGAATGAATAAAATAAATAAAAATTGAATAGAGAAATAAACGAAATAAATTACAACCTAACCTAATAACAATCTAACCTAACTAAATCAAATAATTAATAAAATGAATTAGAGTTAAATGCAAAAATGAATGAATAAAATAAATAAAAATTGAATAGAGAAATAAACGAAATAAATTACAACCTAACCTAATAACAATCTAACCTAACTAAATCAAATAAATAAAAATGAAATAAATGACGAAATAAAATAAAGAAAAATGAAGTTGAAGAAACGAAATTAAAATAAATCGAAATTAATGAAACAAGTAGATAAGATAAATAGACATGAAATAAAACTAAATTCTGATTACATTACGAATATTTTGTGGTTAAAAATAAATACGAAGTGCATTTAAAATAAAATCTTTTAAAAGTATCTTTACAATGTGTTTCCATATACGTGTTTTTAATATTGCACATATCGTAATCAAAGTATTAAATGTAACATTCCGGAACGTGGTTGTTGGACAGAAATTTTTCAATTTCCACTCAGAAAAGAATTAATTCTTTGTACAAGAAGGGCAGCAGTATTTAGCGCCAAAAAGGGCCGTCGCAAATCTTCCGGCGTATACATTCGTGGTAATTTCTTCATTAACCCAGGCGGCATAATGAAGCTACGTTCACCGTCTCTAGAATGCAACGAGGGTAAAACACGTTTTCCTGAAAATCCAGCCGCGACAAGGCACTTACGAACAGCTGACGGGTTTGCCTTAATTCTCGTTTCATTAGCCTCCGTCGATTCGCTTTTGTATCCACGATAGAGAGCACCCCTTCTGCCGACCCACACTTATTTCCCTTTCTACTCTATGCAAATCAGAACACCCTGCAACGATTACACCGCTGTTCTTTTTTATAATTTCGCGAGATTGGATGGCTTAATGTTTCATCTCCCGTTACAACGCTCTGCAAAGAAGGCTGAGAAACGGCTGGTTTACAAAGTGAATTGGCTGGCTACTCTTTGTTCGCGAGACGCCCTTGTAATGTTCTCGTTATCACGAAAGAACTCGGTGTAGTTGCCGGTTATGACTGTTTCTTTCTTTTTCTTTTCTTTTTTGGAATGGCGAAGTGAGACTGTAACGCTTGTTTCGTCGAAAACGGGCTTCTGGTATTTCTGGTGCTAACTCTTCTCGGAAATGTGAAGTAATTTTGCTGGCCACGGTTGTTAACTCGGTTAGCGACGTGTAGTACTTAATTTCTGGACAAAATTCGACATTGCGATACTAACGACCCTTTTCTACTTCCGAGTCCCATCCGTTCTATATTTTTTATATTTGAAGTACTGGTTATTCAAAAAACCAGTTCTTTAATCCCTCGACGCACTTTTACGAGTCTGACTTGTACTGTCATCAATTTTACTCGAATTTTTAATCACTTCGATCAAGACAATTTGCATAGTCAACGACTGATATCAGAGTGACATAACGTTTCAACTTTCTTTGTCTGTTTTAATATTGTAGTCGTTATGACTGGCATTGGACAAATATATCATAGGACAAAGGGTTAATACAGGTCGTCAAATAAATACGGAAAATGTAAATGATAAAACTAATCATACATTAACTAATACAAATTATATAAAATATATGTAGTAGTATAAAGTATAAGTATATTAGAATATGATGATTAAGGATTACTATAAAGATACATTTGATTTCATATGAGTGGATGCACGAGAAGAATATCTAACGGCTTCAATAAAATATGAAATTAAATATTTATTTCAAGGTTCAATTTATAAGCGACACTGTTAAATTATATGAGTAACAAGATGTTTATTTTTTCAGTAGAATCTTTACTGTCTACATATTTATAAAATTAACCTTCATAACATGAAAATCAATAATTATTATTTTAAGAATTTTTTTTAAGAGTGTTTATTGGAATGTTTGGAATTTTTTTAATGGTTTAAATGTCTTGTCTTGATATATTGCATTAAAGATGTCTATCAAGTATAAATATTTTATTTTACCTAAGAATAGAAGTAACCTAAAAGAATTTAAGAATAGAACTTTTTAAAATTCTTTTATTTTTTTTATGAATACAGGTGGAGTCAGCTGTTTTGTACGATTCTGTGTTTCTGCTATATAACGCGATGAATGCATTGAATGCGAGGAACAAGGACAACGAGGATTCTGTAACTATTGACCCAGTACCGCTCTCTTGTGAAGAAGCAGAGAAATACGCCGCAGGTCCCAACATTACCAGCCTTATACGAGAGGTAAAAGCTTGAATCTCTAATTTATGTTTCAAACATGAAATTTCCCACGTGTTACATTTTGCAAAAGTTGTTTTCGAGTAAAATATCAAAGCGTTAATTAACACTGAAATAGTAAAGCATCGAATACCATTTTGATATTTTGCATGAATCAAAGGATTATCGTTATGTACAATATATGCGCAAAGTTTGAAAATCCCAAAGTTCGAGAGTTTCGAACTATCGACGTATCGACGTCTCAAAGGTTTAAGATTTCAGAAGTTTTAAAATTCTGGGATTTAAAGCTTCGAAGTTCTAAGATCTTGAAGTCCAAGTGTTCCTGACTCTCAATGTATCAAAACAGTTCAGAATTCTAAAATAACAACATTCTGAACTGCTTTTATTTTAGTAATTCAATTCTAAAAATCCAAAGTTTGAAAATTTCAAAAACTCGTCCTGATATTTTAAAATCATACAATTTCCATATTATGTTATTCTAAAATCTTCAAATCTTCAAATTTCACAGATCCAATGTTCAATAATTTCCAAATTTCAATATTTAATATTTTACTGTATCAAAATTTCAATATTTAAAAATTCCAAAGGTACAAAATTTTAAGATCTCAAAAATTCAATGTATCCATAGTTTCAAATCCCGCTGTTCCTCAATTTCAATATCTCTAAAATTTAAGATATCCAGCAATATCCAGAATATCTAGAATATCTAGAGATAGATCATTTTCTAAATAATAGATAAGATAATAGATAAAATGATAGATAAAATAATGGATAAAATAATTGATAAAATAATACATAAAATAATACATAAAAAAATGCATAAAATAATAGATAAGATAATATCTAAGAGCTAATTTTGTAAATAATAAATATAAGATAATTTTCTATATAAAAATTTACTATCTTTTATTTTATCTCTCATCTTTTATCACAATTTTCCGTATCTCAATTACCCCAACCTACCAAATCCGTATATATCAACGTCCAGACATATTTCACATATCTCATACGTCGTTAAACGTCTGTTCTTCCAGCTAGCCAAAGAGGGTAAAATCACGGGGCCGATGGCAATCGACGAAAATGGTCGACGTCAGTATTTCAATATACGAATCATGGACTTGAGGCCGGATGGTAGCGTGCAGACATCCTACTGGGATCCCGATGGACTTCATTTGATCGAGAACGAACAGGAACGGGAAAGCTACTTGTACAAATCCATCGAATTGAAGAAATTCAAAATCACCACGAAACTGGTGTGTATTTCGCTGTACATCTACGTTCTCGATTGCAATTTTTTTTGTAAATATTCAAAGCTTTTTGCACTAGGAAATATTTCTGTTCTCTCGTAACTCTACAATTTTCCTGTTGAAAAGTTTATGAATTCTTGTGAATTCTTTTTAAATTATTCTTTCTCTATTATTAATTTCCACTGTTCAGTAACAGTTACAGAACGTTTATGTCACATGTATAATGCTGCAAACATAATTCGAAAATACTTCATTCGGATTGTTGCATTAAACCGAGCGAAGTCACCTTTCGAGTGCAAATAATTAATCCGTCGATCGAGTACCAATGTCTGTTTGAGAATTGATTCCGATGCTTCGCTAACAGCGTTGCTAATTAGTCAACCTACATACTCTGGGGAGCCTGATGAACCTAGTTACAATGTTTGCGAATCATCGACTCTGCACATACGGAAACATAGCTTGATACAGTTTCTTCCTTTACTTGAAGATGTTGGGACACGATGGAAAATTAAGTGAGCTCGTTAATAGTTAGCTATTTGGTAATTTAACCGTTCAATTAGGGCCCACCTTACGTGATGGAGGTGACTGACAGCGCAACTCGAGGCATACTGATCGAGCAAAAGCGATACGAGGGCTTCTGCATCGATCTTATCGAGGAAATTTCCAAGCTGCTGAAATTTAAATATGAATTCGAATTAGTTCCGGACGGTAATTACGGCTCGTACGTTAAAGAGACGAAACAGTGGAACGGACTGATTAGACGTCTTCTTGACAGGGTGAGTCAAATATCGATACTTCGCAATTTAACTTTAACGTAACACTAACTAGTTATGAGTACTAACTAGTTGTTAACTAGGTTTATATCAGATATCATTAACTTGAAATTTATTTTATTTCGGTAAATTGTGTATAAAGTTACATCGTATTCCTAAAATTAAAGGAAAGGTGAATTAATTGCAGGACGCAGATCTGGCAATTTGTGATCTAACGATCACCTACGAACGAGAGAGCGCAGTTGATTTCACGATGCCATTTATGAATCTAGGTACGGTATATTTCAGTTACCACAAGATATTTCGTTAAACTGGTATTTCATTCGGTGTGCCAGGTATCAGCATTTTATACAGAAAACCGGAGGAGAAGGAGCCGGATCTATTCTCCTTCCTGTCACCATTGTCAACTCATGTCTGGATTTACATGGCGACTGCTTTCTTAGTAGTTTCAGTAATGCTGTTTCTGCAGGCTCGGTAAGGACAGGGAAGATAATAGGAACGGTAGAATTTGTTGACGGGAAGCTTCAGCCGATAGCTTGATTCAAGAATTGGTTTGCTAACTTCACAATTTTTCTTCTACTTCACTAAATTTCACAATTTACATTAAATGAAAAGTTCATGATTAGTAATTCGTGATTGAGAAATTATTTAAAATAAACAATTGTACAAATATTTGTGACGCTATTTTTCAACTTAGTCGATGAAATTTTCGCCTAATTGAACAGTGACATTTTTCAAAAGATTCTGAATGCAAGTTGATCTAGTTCCTCCTTAGTATCTTGAAATTCGTGTAAATGAAACTTTGTTCAAAGTGAAGATCGTTTAAAAATTTTTTCTTGCAACAAGTTGATATACATACAAGGTGATATACAAGTTGATATTGTATGATTTATTGCTAATTTTCGATATTTTTAGAATTGCACCCGGCGAATGGAACAATCCACACCCGTGCAATCCAGACCCCGAGGAACTGGAGAACAATTTCACTTTGAAGAACTCTATGTGGCTCACTTCCGGCTCTATCATGCAACAGGGTTCCGATATACTTCCAGCGTAAGTCTAAACCGGTGAACTTAACAAAGCACCTATGCCACCGCAGCCCACCTTACATGCATGCAAACCCGTAATAATCGTGAAACAGAAACCGCAGCACTGCCGCAAAGAGATGCAACTGCACCTGCTTTGCTTGTGCAGTTGCGATTCCCTAATTACTTGTTTAAAATAGTTCTCATAAACTGAAAACTATTAGTACACCCTTGAATAATAATTACAAATTGAATATCAAACATTATTATAGTAGGTGAATTTCTTTCAATTTCAAGAGTGTAACAAAATAGATGGAAGATTAAAGTATATTTATTGTGAAAATTGTAACATGGAAACACTTTATTACTATGAAGTAGTTTGAATTGTCATTAGAGAATAATTTCATTATAAAACATTAGAGAAAGATGCTTAAAATTGTTTTAAAACATAACCTTATTCTGAGTTTAACCGTCGATGTCTGTTTACAAAATGGCTGCCAATTCTACCAATCTACTCGAGTAACAATATTTTCAAGGATTACTATAATTTATATCATTAAATCTACTGATGAATAATAAACAATAATCTACATTTTACAATAATCTACATTTCCTTAGAGAAACGTAAAAATGTTAAAACGTAACCAAGACAAAAACAAAACACATTGAAAATGAAATGAAATAAAATATGTTCTTCATAAAGTTCGAAAAATCCTTACAATCCTTGTCAGCAAACGAGTGAGATACAATAGAATCCTTGTTTAACAGTCACGATCTTCCATTCTGGTATAAGTGGAAGAAAAATCCGTTCCAGCACGATCCCGTTATTCTGCTTAAGGAATAACTGAAATGTCGCGGAATCTATAGAAAAGCATACAGAGACGGTGCCAAAAGCAGCGTACCGCTCTGTCCTCGACTATCCTCTTTTTTTCACGACAATTAAGCTTAACGAGCCGGTGTTTGCCGGACATATTTGAGGCGGCTTCCCACTTATTAGCGCCGTGGCGGCGCTAACTCTCCTCCTTTGCTCGTAACGTCGTCGCGCGTGTTTGCTCGCTACATACTGACGAAGAACCGACTAAAGACGGCGACGAACAACACCTAACCCTCCTAACTGCTTTCTAGCCGCTTGTTTATGCCCGGACTCGTAACTGCGTTATTTACATTTAATATTCGGAAACTCTCGAACGCCCCGTTTTGGTATTTCAGTATCAATTTCATATTACGTATCGGTTATTGATATTTTATCGATTACGACGTTGCTTGATGTTAATATCGTTAATACAGCGTTTCTTTTATTTTTTGCATTCGTGATTTATTCATTTTTGTCATTCTTTATCATCGAGACTGTTTCGCAAACCCAGATTTCAATTTTAAAATAAAAATATAAAAATATTTTGTTAACTTAATATTTTCCTATAACTCATTTCTTTGATAAACAATACACGTACGGAAATGTTGAAGAGTCTAAACCTAAAGAGAACTGTAGTAATAGCTACACTATTGTAGTGGTTAGGGTAAAAATACGTCATAAAATGTGAACACATTAAGAAATTAAATCGAGGTTCATAAAAACTCGAACTGATCTATAAACTTATACTTTACTTGTAGTTTAGTTTTTACATATTTTAACATAAAAGACTTGAACATACAAAAAAATTGTAAACTCGGTTTACGAAAAAATGAAAATATTTTGCGATCCTCGTAGAACTTGCATCGTCGAAGGAATATAGTTTATCGAGGCCCAGGCAGAATATTGCAGCGGCAATTTAATCGCGATCCATTTGTCGTAGGCGAGGTCTCGCGAGGAAACAATGTGTCCTTTGTTTCTGTTTGCTCGGCTTCATGCGCACGCTCGCGCTACAGAGAATGTCCTCGTGTACGTAGACTATACTCGGCAAACAGGCGTCATTTGCATACACGGCCCTTTCGCTTGTGCTTAATTAGGAAAACGCGATGCGTGCTTCTCGCGACGCGTTGTCTCCGCCGGCTTTTCCGGCCGAGTATCGCGTTAAGATGCTACTTCGGCTCGCCTGCGGCACCAGACGATTAAACTGCGGTGGGATTGAATATTTTGGACAATAGGAAAATTTCAGAATGAGAATCTTGGAAATTACTGAATGCGAATTGTAAATTGCAAAATTATTAAATTAAATAGTTATTATTAAATTTAATAGTTAAGTTAAATTGCAAGAGAAAATTATTAAGAATTTGAGATCTGTTAAGTATTTGAGAATTTGAGAATTAGAAGATTGACCATTTGGATACATAAAGCTGTAGAATAAGAAATGATAATATTCCCGAATTCCCACAGTCCCAAATTCCTACATTCCTAAATTCTCACATTCCCAATTTTCCACATTTTCAATTTCCCAATTTCCCACATTCCCAATTTCTCAATTTCTCAATTTCCCACATTCCCAATTTATCAATTTCCCACATTCCCAATTTCCCAAAATCTCAAAATCCCAAATCCCAAATCTCAAATTTCCAAATTTCCCACTTTCCCAAATTCCCAATTTCCCACATTCCCAATTTCCCACATTCCCAATTTCCCACATTCCCAATTTCCCACATTCCCAATTTCCTACTGTCCCAAATTCCCACATTCCCAATTTCCCACATTCTCAATTTCTCAATTTTCCAATTTCCCACATTTTCAATTTCCCAGTTTCCCACATTCCCAATTTCCCGCATTCCCACATTCCCAATTTCCCACATTCCCATATTCCCAATTTCTCAATTTCTCAATTTCCCAATTTCCCACATTCCCAATTCATCAATTTTCCACATTCCCAATTTCCCAATTTCCCAAAATCCCAAAATCCCAAAATCCCAAAATCCCAAAATCCCAAAATCCCAAATCCCAAATTTCCAAAATCCCAAATTTCCCAATTCCCCAATTTCCCAAATTCCCAATTTCCTACAGTCCCAAATTCCCACATTCCTAAATTCTCATATTCCCAATTTCCCACATTCTCAATTTCTTAATTTTCCAATTTCCCAAAATCCCAAATTTCCAGTTTCCCACATTTCCAATTTCCCACATTCCCAAATTCCCACATTCCCAATTTCCTATATTCCCATATTCCCAATTTCCCAATTTCCCAAATTCCATATTATTAAGAATTTGATATTTGTTGAGTATTTAAGAATTTGAAAATTAGAATATTGAACATTTGGATTCACAAAAATTTGTACAATAAAAAATGTTAACAAAGTGTTTGTATCCTTAAAGAGCACCATCGATTCGAATGGTGGCCGGAATGTGGTGGTTCTTCACATTGATCATGGTTTCTTCGTACACTGCCAATTTGGCAGCGTTTTTGACGGTGGACAAGATGGATACCCCAATCAAGGGTGTGGAGGACCTCGCCAAGCAGACAAAAATTAAGTACGGAGCCGTGGACGGCGGATCCACGTCCGCCTTCTTCAGGGTATCGACCGACATCAAAAAACGATTCACTTAGCCACAAGCCTGCTAACAATCTTCCTTTGCTAACAATCTTCCTTACAGGACTCGAATTACTCGACTTATCAACGCATGTGGGCCGCAATGATGGAGGCAAGACCAAGCGTGTTCACAAAATCCAACGACGAGGGCGTCGAACGAGTGTTGAAGAAATACGATTACGCCTTCCTCATGGAATCAACCACGATCGAGTACAGGATGGAAAGAAACTGCGACCTCGATAAAGTCGGTGGTCTTATCGATAACAAGGGATATGGAATTGCCTTGCCTCGGAGTATGACAGAATTTTTTTCAGAAAGAGTTTTATCGATGAAATTGCGGGGATAAAGGCTTTGAACGTGAATTCTTTTATAGATTCGCCGTACAGGACGCCTATAAGCGGCGCAATATTGATGCTGCAAGAGAAAGGGGTGCTGCAAGATCTGAAGAAAAAGTGGTGGGTGGAACGCGGAGGTGGATTGTGTTCAAGTAGTGACGCTGAACCCGCGAATTCGAGCGAACTGGGTCTTGCCAATGTCGGTGGTGTGTTCCTGGTACTCTTAATTGGATGCTGCGGATCTATATTTATCGCCATCTGCGAATTCTTGTGGAATGTCAGAAAGGTCGCTGTTAACGAAAAGGTAAGTCGGGTTTTTAAAGGAACTTTGGGACTCGGATTTTGGGGATTAAGGTTGTAGAATTTTGGGAGTTTGATGCTTTGGAATTTTGGGAATTTGAGAGTTTAGAATTTGGGAATTTTGGGGCGTTGAGAATTTGGGGGTTTTCGAATTCTGCCATTTGGAAATTTGGAAATTTGGGGATTTTGGTATTATTGAACTTTGGAATTCTGGAATTTGGGAATTTAGGATTATGGAAATTTGAGATTTGGGAATTTGGGAATTTGGGAAATTGGGAAATTGGGAAATTGGGAAATTGGGAAATTGGGAATGTGGAAATTTGGGAAATTGGGAATGTGGAAATTTAGGAAATTGGAAAATTGGGAAATTGGGAATGTGGGAATTCGGGAATTTAGGATTTTGGAAATTTGAGATTTGGGAATTTGGGAAATTGGGAATGTGGAAATTTAGGAAATTGGAAAATTGGGAAATTGGGAATGTGGGAATGTGGGAATTTGGGAATTTGGGAATTTGGGAATTTGGGGATTTAGGAATTTGAAAATTTGGGAATTTAGGATTTTGGAAATTTGAGATTTGGGAATTTGGGAATTTGAGAAATTGGGAAATTGGGAATTTGAGAAATTGGGAAATTGGGAA